GTGCCTTTGAGATGGAGTTCTTCTCCTTCTTCTATCCCTGTTATTTTTAGGTTTGGTCTTTTCATGGTGTCCTATATTTCCTGAATGTTTTGTGTTAAGAATTTGTTGGATTTAATGTTTTCTTTGACCAAATGAGTCTATTTCCTCTATAGTATCTTCAGCGCCTGAAATTCTTTTATTTATTGTTGGTTATACTTGTTTCTGTAGTTCTTGTTTGTTTACCCATGTCCAGAATTCCCTTGCTTTATGTTTTATTACCTCTATTTCAGTCTTCAAGTCTTAAACTGTTTTCTTCACCTGTTTGATTGCTTTTTCTTGGTCTTCTTTGAAGGATTTATTAATTTCTTCCAACTTTTTGTTTGCCTCATTTCTTTAAGGAAGTTTTTCACTTCCTCTTTAAAGTTCTCCATCATTTTCATCATTTAAAGTTACGTTTAATGTTGTTGTCTTCTACTTCTTCTGGGTTAGGATGATCAAGTCTTCTTGTTGCATGTCCACTTGGTCTGGTGTTTTTTAGGATGTTGGAGGAATTTTTACATTACCTACCCATCTATTCCTTTAAATGAGGCCTGCAGTATCTCAGTTCAGTCCTTGCTGTGGCTGTCTAGTATTTGAGAGTTTTTTTTTTTTTTTTTTGGATTGCCCTTTTAGGGCCCCTAATTATTGGAGCAAGCTGTGTTTCAGGGTTCCTTGGAGCTTGCAGACAAATAGGTGGCTTGGGGGCAGGGTGGGTTGGAGGTTAGCCTAGCTGCAGGAAAGCTCCCTGCTGGCTCGCTAGAAAAGCCAAGGGAGTTAAGGAGGAGCCCCTGGGTTTTGTCCCACTGGGGAGGTCTCAGAGAGTGGGATGTCTTCCTGTCTGGCCATGTGGCCACTAGCTCACCTCTTAGGTCCCCTCAGTATTAGAGCAAGCTGTGTTTCAGGGTTCCACAAAGCTCACAGGCAAACAGACAGGTTTGGGGGAGGGGGTGGGGTGGGGGGTTGCCCCAAATTGACAGGATTTGAAGGGATGTTTGCTACAGTTTGTATATTTTTTAATTTTGAAAATAATTTTATATATGTATTTTCTTTGTCATTCTCTTTGCTACAATTCTCTTTATTATATTCATGCAGGATTTTTTTTGTTTTATTTTGTTTTTGTTTGAGAGTCACTGAGTTAACATGAATTAATATGTTAATCTGTGTTAATCAGTTAACTGAGTTAATCTATGTTACCATGGATTTGGAGCTATCTGTTTGGGACTGGTGGGTTCAACAGTGGTAGTGGTACACCCTAAAGACCATGATTCACCCTCTCCCAGACTTATGACTAGCTAATAATTCAGCCATAAGGGGTAGCATCAAGTGGGTCCCTCATCCATCCATGACTAGTTGTTCACAAGCCCAATTTTGTATGGTCCCAGTGCTGTGACTTCATGATGAAAATAACTGTGTCCAGTCAAGAAGATAGGATTTTTCCTTCATCCTACCTTCTTATTCTTATAAACTCCCTAAACCCCCTCCCCCAACATACACACTTTTCCCTGAGTCTTTGAGCAGGGAGCTCTCAATCACCAGGTTATCTAAGCATCTTGGTCAGTTATGAATCTATGCATTCATTAACATTCATTTTAAAGAGAGATTTCTCTGGTTAAGACTGAGAGCAGTGTTTGTGTATGAGTGTAATAAGCACAGATGTTCAGGATGTAGCTTGAGGTTTGTGTTGTTAAACAACCATAGCAAATTCCTCTCTTGAGCAGATGACCTCTCCAGTCAGGTTGTTAACTGGAAACACAGTACAAGGAATAGGTTCCCTCCTCAGATCTAACTAAAAAGAAACTGGGTACCTCTACAACAAATGTGTCATTATTTTGCAGGTTAACACATCTTGCTCAGTAGGTTGCTATTTTTGTGGTTCATAGGGTTTAGGGCTGGGTAAGATCCACCTTCCAGTCTTTAAAAGCTAGCCAGAAGGGAGGAAGTCGCCAGCTCAATTCCAGCTTGTTTTTTCAGCATCTTACAACTGAGGTACAATCCAATCCTATCCTCCAGCTCTGGTGAGCAACCAAGAGGACAAACAAGAGCCTCTTGTTTGGAGGGCCTCTGGGGCCTCAAAAACTCTTAAGGGGGCCTCCCACAACACTGTCATGGAAATACAGATTTTGATTAATAAATGTTCAACTGACTTCCCTGGAAGGCAAGTGATCAAGTGTGTGCAGCCACTGCACACACCACAGCAAGAGTGCACAGACATGCAACACTGAAGACGCAAAAACCACCAGGAGCCTTGCTAGTAGTCGCATTGTGCTTCATATGGGCAAAAAGCCTAAGTTTTGGCAGGCTGTGTGTGTGTGAGGAGGTATAATCTTTGATTTACATGATCATGCATTCTTAGAAAAGTCAGTAACAGAGCCAAAATCCTACTCATGTTATTCTTTCCCAAGTTGCCGAAGCCAATATTTTCTCTATACCTCCTGAAGCATTTTATAAGCATTTCATTCCGACTTGATCCTATTCCATAGATTCTGACAGCCTTATTGTTATTTTTCTGGATAAACTAAAATTTTATTTTATTTCTATTGTTAGTTTATCAACTTGATATAAACCTAGACATATCTGAGAAAAATCAAAACTAAGGAATTTCCTCCATCAAACTGCCCCTTGTACATGTCTATGGGCATTTTTTTTAAATTAATTATTTATGTGGGAGGGCCCAGCCCTCTTGGGCAAATGATTCTGTGTGGCCCAAGGAAGCTATTTAAGGAGTCATGAAGAGCAAACCAGAATCAGTACTTTTCCATGGTGTCTGCCTCAGTTCTTACCCCCAGATTTCTGCTTGGGTTCCTGCCTTGACTTTTCTCAATGGTGAACTATGATGTGGATGTGTAAGCTCAATAAACCCATTTTCCCAAAGCTGTTTTTGCTTATGGTGTTTATCAAAGCAACAGAAAGCGAATGTCTTTGAGATTAGAATGGCTAGAAGAAAATAAATGCTGGAGACGAGGTGGGGAAAGGGGACTCTCAAACTGGTGTAGCCACCCTAAAAAGCATTGCAGAGAATCCTCAAAAAGTTCAAAATAAACCTATTATATGAACAGCTACACCACGCTTTGTCATGTGCCTGAAGACTCAACATCATACTGCACAGGCACGTGTTTAGCTGTGTTCTTATTGTTCTATTTACAATAGCTAGGAAATGGAAACAACCTGAATGTTCTTCAGCTGAAAAATAGATGGTGAAAATGGTAGTAGTAGTGTGTATACACCACGGAGTACTAGTCACTGTCAAGAACAGTGAAATCACGAAAGCTGTAGATAGTTGGATGGAACTAGAAAGTAGGTAGGACACTGAGTAAGGTGACCCAGATCTAGAAAGTCAAACGCTGAATTTTCTCTCTCATCTGAGGTTTCTAACTACACCCAGAGTTACAGCAGAAACCAGGAAAGCAAAAATAAAGGGGATCATGGGGCTGGGGTAGGAAAGGGACCTGGAAAGACGAATAGGAGGATAGAGTTGATATGGAGATGGAAATGGGGAAAATGTGGGCTAGGCTTTAACTAGGGAGGAGACTACAGAAGGAAAAGGAGTGAGGGAGTATAAATAACACTAAGGATGTTTGAAAGAGTCATAGAGCAGTGCTTTTCATCTTTCCTATTGCTGTGACCTTTTAATACAGTTCCTTATGTTTTTGGTGACCCAACCATAAAATTATTTTTATTTCTACTTCATAACTATAATTTTATGCTGTTTTAAATTATAATGTGAATCTTTGTGCTTTCCAATGGTCTTAGGCAACCCTTGTGAAAGGATTTCTTTGACTACACAAAGGGGTTGTGACCCACACATTGAGAGCCACTGCCGTAGAGCATTGTATTACATGTATGTCCTAACTTAATTTAAATGCTAATCATCTTTATACTCTCATTTATAAAGTTTCTCTTTGCAGCAGGCAGAGAACATCACAGAAACCAAACAAAGCTCAGAGAATAGCAGAACATAAGGTGACCAGCCTCAATTGACACATCTATTACACAATACCTATACTTAAGGCAGAGGAAATATTTTGGAAGTAAGTGAGAGGAGGTTATAAGAGCTAGAGGACCAGGAAAACTGCTGAGACTGTGCCTTCTAGAGATGACAGGGAAGGTATACCCAAGAAATTCCAACAGTATGGTCACCTAACAAGACCAGAACAATGACACAACCAATTGACACACCAACAAGTAAGGGGGGGTGTATCATGGGGCCCCACCCTAGATGAAGTCATTTAATGACTGGTGAGAAGGGGAAAAACATCTTCTACAGGGATAAGCATCCTAAGTGGGTATCTAATACCAACTTGCCAGTCCTAAAGCCATACTAAATGGACTTGGCTGGCTGTATGTATGTATGCATGTATTTTTGTGTGCATCTGTGTAAAACAATAATAATAATGAAAGAGTAGGGTAGGGATTTGAAAAAGTGTGAGGGCATGAAATTAATAAAGGAGAGGAAGCTGGGGTGTAATTATACTTTAATTCAAACTAAAGAAAGCCAACTTCAGTCAGGAATGGTGGCATAGGCATGGTGGCATAGTGCTGGCCTTTAAGCCCAGCACTCTGGGTAGGAAGAACGGGTGGGGGTATATGGACTCATACATTGTGTACTTGTGTTGAACTCAGATATATTTCTCTTAGCTCCAATGCAAGGGATCATGGAACCTGAAATAGGTAGCATGATTAACTCACATCAATCATGCAAGTTTGTCATGATTAATTCGGATCAACTTTAACTTTGTTGGGGTATTTTATCTTACAATGGGAAAAGAAATGAAGGCACAAGGACCCCAGTTTCTCTACTATCAAGTATGAGATAGATAGCATCTCCCACAGCATACAGCAAATGACTCAGGCTTTCCATGATGAATACAGCTCAGTCAGACAGTGATTATGTAGGTAAACAAGGTGGATGGTAACCAAAATAGTTCCTGCCTTCCAGGACTTTAAGAAGGGTGACAGAAGAAAGGACACTGAATCAACCAGGAGGTATTTCTTCCAAATTGTTATTAAGTATATTACACCAGAGCCAGTGGCTTAAAAATGTGATTCCCATCCTACTAAGAATTACCTACTAATTACAATGTGTTGCATGGTTGAATGCAATGGAGCTTCCCCAAAAATAAAGGTTATTGCAGAAATTACTTGCTGTGACTCATGAGTTTATTACTCAGGGTGATGAAGAACACTAACCTATGATTAAACTATGATGGAAAGCACCACCATTAAACACAATTCACCATCACTGGGTACTTCCGTACTTCATTTCGTTCTAAATATTCCACACAAATTCTGTCACTTCATGACCAGAGCAAACCTATCAGATGTTTGATAATATTTTCTACATCTTCCTGGCAAGAAATGATGATGAGATATTCAATGTACCACCCACCAACGTCTCAATGCTGGTAATCATAAAAACCAGAAATCAAACAAGAACTTTAGATTCAGGGCTGGGGACTTAATGCAGTGGTAGTTATATGTATGACTAGCAGGTGAAATGCCCCAAGTTCGATTCAGCCCTATAAAAATCAATTGATCACTCACCTGATCAATCAGACTCTTCAGTGCTATATCATAAATCTTCCTGTGGAAGAAGGGCTGGGCTAACTACAATGACTGAAGCAAGACCATTATCAATTAGGTGCTCCATAAGGTAGAAGACAGTTCTTCTATGCACAGCTGACAAGGTCCGTTTCATGTAACTAAATCAAGAGGAGGATGTAGCATCCCGATTCCAAATGGGGAAGGTGAGGATGGGCATCCCAACACACTGGTTTGGACCACCCATCCTATTCTCCTTCTGTACATCTTCAAACTGCTACACTTACAGACTAAGACCAGCGAGCTCCATCTGTCCAATAATCTTGATGAAAGCATTATTTGAAAAGAAATATAACATTCAATTTTAGGCATGGAAAGATCAAATAAATTACATCATAGTGAAGGAAGGAATTTTTTCCACCGTGGAAAAAGCAACACAGGGTAGAGCAATTATAGCGTACTCAAGTACTATACAACTTTCAAGCAGTTATATTGCTTGAAGATATTTTATTAAGACTAAAAAACTTTCCATTACATTTATCAATAAATTCATCATGGGCCAAAGGAAAATAAATAAAAATCTGCATCTTTAGGGACATTTTGACTCCATAGTTTTGTAATCTGAATTTACATGTTTGCTCATTTTAAATGACTACACTTTAGGCACACTCAATGATTAAATAGTACCAGAAATGCCAGCCTTACAGATGCCAAGTTTCCACATTACTCAGGGAAACCATGGTTATTGTTTCAATTTTATCTCTTTACATTTAGGCCACTCTAACTGGGAGGTGGACAAGGAGAACAACATTACACGCAAAGTTCAATTTTAATTGTACAAACACTGAAACAGTTGTTTCTTCTCTAACAGTGGCTGCCATGCCATCCCAGGAACAGGCTGCTGAGAGCTCAGAGAGTTCTTCTCGGTGGTAGGAGTGCTGAGGCCAGAGAGCAGAGAGAGGTTGCCTCTTACTACAGGGATCCACAGCCTTTTGTTGGCCTGGCTTATTACATTCTAATTCAATCTCTTTGTAAGCATCAAAGCACAGGTAAGCCTACATGACACCTGATTTCTTAAACTGTTTTTATTTTCATCATTTTAAGAAAATGTTGTTTAGCTCTGGTCTAAAAAGTACAGATATTTATATTTTCATAACATTTCATCCATCACCTATACTACTTATAAGGACTCAAAATTTCCACTGCACTATACAAGTTCTACCCTAAAATAAAAAAAATGGAGACAACAATCCCAAAAAGAAAGAAAAAATCAACAAAGATATCTTGGATTAAGGAAACTGGGATACCTAAAGTATCCACAGAATGCCCTATGCTGGTATGCATTCCTCATCATTCTTGGTACAGAAACTTGCTTTATGAGAAGTGTAGGCATTCCCTAATATTCCACGCAAACCAATTCTCTAAGACTTGTGCTTCTAGACAGGCCACACAGGTCACTGGCTTCAGTACAGGAATCTGCTAGCCATCCTATCTGTGTTTAAACTGCATGGCTTATCATTTAATTAATAAATACAGAATTTGCATAGACTATGTTCATTAGTCCAATGATCTGGCTGTGGGACTGAATGAATAATGAGGTCTCTAGAGTAACTTCTGTGTCTGCTTCTCACAGTAATTCGACATGTCATAAGGAAAGTTAGCAAGGACACTATCACATGACAGTGAACATGTAACATGTGGGGATCTACCTGCAACAGGTCAAATATTTACATGGAATGCTGACCTTGCTTATAAAACTACTACTTTAAATTATATCTTTATATACAATTTATTTTATGAATAACCCTATTTGATAACTAAAAATATGTCTTTCAAATATCTCACAAATATATAAAATTCCCTATATTTTATTTTTCTTTAAGCATGACAATTAAACGCTCTTCAAAGCAACAAAAATATTTTTGTATTAAAGTCATAGATGTGATGATTTTTCTATTGGCTGAGTCACACTGCTCACAGGAATGGCAGGAGCTCTCTGAACTGTGGGACATTTGTAATATGATAAATTATTCACTTGCTGGAGACCTATAGCATCAAAGAAAAAAGAGCAATGTCATCTAAACATTTAAAAATTTCATCTTCTTTCAGAATAGGTTGAGATGAAATCTGGCCAATATTAATAATCAAATTATTAATTGATCAAAAAAAGTTAACACAATATAAGGCTTCTAGAATACACCGTAGCACAATTTAAACATGTGGTGATTGCACAGTACGGAAACATGATCACTTTTTCCTTAACTATGTGTGTTAAACGTTTAGAATATGTATCTCATTCTTATAATTCACTGAAAACTTCCAAAGCAAGAGAATAAAACATTTTGACTACAAAAATGTCTTCTGAAAAGTAACAGGTTAAAACAGGAATTGCTTTGTGATCATTGCTTGCCCTAAAATAATTATCCTTACTAAACCACAAGGAAGGGTTTTGGTCTACATCTATAATATTACTTAAATCTATTTCCAAACCTGTTGCAGTGGCATGTACCCCTACTTGGGAGGTTGAGGCAAAGGAGGGCTGAGTTCAAGGCCAGTGTAGAGAGCATAGTAAGACCCTCAACTTACAAAAAAAGATCCATTTTTCCCTTATAGAATATTTGCAGCATCTATATGTACTCCAAATGATTTCCTAATCTATAATATGTGAGCTACTTCCTTAAGAACAAAAAACACACAAAGAACATACTCTGTGCACAGGAGCAGTAATAGGATGGGGTCTTATTTCCAGCTCAATCAAACCTGTGGAGCTGCCCAAGGTGACTAAGTTCATGCTGTCAACTGCAAGCATGCAAAGTGAAGGGCAGCAAGTATAGGTGGGGCATGAACTCTGATACACTGCCTCTCACAACAGAGACAGAACTAAGGGCAATCAGGGAATTCAAAGTTTTACACAGTGCCGATTTTGACTTTTAGATTGTGCAGTCATATGATTCAAATAAGGCTCTAAAAGATATAAACAAAACCACACTGAAATTTTATAAAGACTTTACATCTATGACAGTGATAGAGGTTTAAGAAAATCCTACCAAAAACATGGTAGCTGACCTAATCATGCACTCTGTAAAAAAAAAAAAAATTAAGGAAATTTTCTTGAGTTATGAATGTAACCAGCTCACAGGGACCCAATGGGTATCAGTCTCTAGTTTGTCAAATGTTGTTTTTAGCTCATTAAATGCCATGGTGAGATCATCATTTATTATAATTTTGTCAAAAAGATGGCCGTATTGACTTTCCATTATTTGTGCCGATTTAATCATTTCTTGAAAGTCTTCTTCCTATAAAAACAAGTAACAGATTAAGCAACGAGCAATTACATCATTTCACATCAATAGAAACATTTTACAATGACTTTACTGAAAGCTGTGATTTTAGACTTTAAACCAAGCCAAAAAACAAAATCACCTTCCCTATCACTACTTTTTCAGGCTTTCTGGGTCATTTGTAATGCACCATTACAGGAGCATATCACGATTAGCATAGATATCAGGGCTGCTGTTAACTCAGTATGCATGCGCAAGACTAAACGTTTGTTGCTGATGTATTTTCTTTGGTTCATTTGGTGGCATTGGGAGTAAACCCAGAGCTTTGTGTGTGCTAGGAAGTTCAGAAACAGTGGTTAGTACTACTAATGTGGATATTGGTTGGAGACACAGAATCTTACTGTAGAACACTTTGGTTTCAAATATTTCAGGCAGAAGGGAATGATTTCTAAGTCTCAATTGTCCTATGCCTGCATCTTGAGTGTTTCAGATAAGAGGGGTGCATTACCATACCCAGTTCTACAAAGTAGAATATCAGTTCATAGAACCAAGAAGAATTCACAACACCATTGTTCAAACCATATAGAATAAAACATTATGATCTTATAAGAGTTCTAGATCATAACTTCATCTGCAACAGTATTCTTAAGTACTGAGTGCAAGCATTTTGGTGCTGCTTGTCCAATGGCTAGCCATCATAATACCCACTGTGAAGGGTTTTGCTGTTCCTTGGTCATCTCTGCTTGAAATAATCTTTGCATTTTTTCTTGTCTCTCTCAAACGTTCTATTGACGGAGGTTTTATAAATATCACATAGGGTTTGAACTCCAGTGTCCTTAAGTGCTTCACTGTCTGCAATAGAGAAAAGATTTTTCAAATTTCTTCATAATTTCATGTATTTTTGGATTTTCCTAAGGAGAAAATTTCTTAAAATTATTCTTTAATGTCAGGCTTTATTCAATCAGTTCCTGAGAACTAAGGTGACAATATCGCTGAAAAGCAACTAGAGAAGGCAATTTACACTTTAAATGTTTTGAAATTAACCATCGCTATTATGGAAGACAGTGACTAAAACCATTAAAACACTAGGTCCTAGACCAAGCTTCTAAAAGATGTGATGAGGTTGGCAGTCTGTAAGCTGTCCATTTCTTTCACATTCTCTCTGCTAGAAGCTGGAGTCTGTGCAGTCTCTCTGCTCTCTGTGAGGTTAAGCAGCACCTCCCCACCCCATCAAGAGTCTTGCTTTGTTTGGAGACAGGTTTGTCTGGGACTGTATAGGATTGCATAGGAGCCTGCCTGGGAGTCCTAATACTCTTGCCTCAGTTTCTAGAGTGCTAGATTACAGGTATATACCAACATACCTTGGTTGTTTTTATTTCTTATATTTTATTCTTTTCTCATACAATACATGAAAACCAGTTTCCCCACCCAGCACCTATCCCTACCCCCATCTCCCCAGATCTACTTCTACTTCACTTCCCTTCAGAAAGAAAGCAGGCCTTGCAGGGATACTTGCTGAGCATGGCATAACAAGATGTAAAAAGGCTAGGCACAAATCCTCATATCAAGGCTGGGCAAGGAAACCTAGTAGGAGGAAATGGTTCTCAAGAGCAGGTAAAAGAGTCAGATACCCCACTCCCACTAAATGTATATAAACAGCAATATACAGTTATACAACCATAATATATATACATATACATGACCTATCACAGACCCATGCAGGCTCTGTGATTGCCACTTCAGTCTCTGAGCCCCTATGAGCCTCCTTAGCTGATTCTGTGGACTGGGTTCTCCTGGTGTCTTTGACCCCTCTGCCTCCTACAATTCTCATCTGGATTTTAAGTGTTGACTCCTGCAGACTGAACTGATGAATTGTCAAGTGTGATGGATTGTCAGAACTGAGAGATATTATTGAAATCTCCATAGTATAAATAGTTCATTTATCCCACTGTGAGGTTAAGTAGATGAACTCTATGTGTTGAGGGGAGCGATATAGTGATGGCGAGGATGAGGAAAGGACTCAGAGAGTGTGGGGATAACCAGGTCCAGTACACAGACAGGGAGGTGAGAACAAGCAGAAATGCCCCACTTCCTCCTGGTGCCTGGACAGAAGGTAGCTTCCAAGGTGATGTTAAGGATTCTATAATTCTAGCTTCTTCATCCATAAGAGGTGCAGAAGTTCTATAATTGGGAGGCTAAGCATCCTAGAATACTACCACCATTAAAAGGAGAATCTTCAGCTCCAGGAAGACTAGGGTAATGCTGGATTTGGGTACCAATCAGAGGACAAAGAATATCACATAAGGAATTGAATGTTTTCACCCATTGGCCTTCCTTAGTTCAATGTACCCACAAGAGGCCCCTGGGTGATACACAAGGTCTCTCTGTGGCATCTCAGACAAGATATTACTGAACAGTGCCTCACAGCTATGCCAGGCTTTAAATGTCTTCGTTGTGTACAAGAACAGATTAGCACAAGAGAATGATGATCTAAGATACCACTGTCAGATTATAAACACTGAGAATGAGGCATAACACAAAGCATGTTATGTATGCAACATTTTTAAAAGATCCCAAATAAACATGCAATAGCCAGCAAACTCGACTGAATAAAAACAAGACAGATAAACACTGACCTTGGGGCATCTTTCCCTCTTATTTTCTAATAACATTATGTGTTTATTTTTCTTAACCAACCTACATTTAAATGAGCAGACTTCATATGAAGCTCACTCTGACATGCGGCAGGAGACTGACAGGGAACTGCATGCTTTGTTTACTTACATGAGGCTGGACATCCAGCAGACAAACTTTGTTCTTAGCTAGGACAGAGCGAACTGAGTCTATACTTGTGCCATAGTAGTTGTTTTTATATTCGCCATATTCAATGAACCTGCAGAAAATTAGACACTCATCAGGATGGTTTGTGAATATGAAAAAAAGCAGGTGGCAAGTTATACATCATAGGCAAAAGGTATTTTTGCTGAACATGTAAAATTTTTTGCTGTATTTAATAAAATAAACAGAACCAAGCATTTCAGCAAATGTCAATTTGAAAAAAATCTGCTACATTTTCAAATCAGTAACACTTGCTTGTATTACACTTAAGCCCAAAAAAGTACTTTGGTTCAGTAGAGCGTTAATGTTTTCCATCACCCCCTTTCAGAACTAATGCAAGGCAATAAAACAGCGAGTAAGCCAAACAATAGAAACTACTGGAATTTCACTGCACACTACAGAGTAACAGAGCTGGGCACTGCAGCCACAGGAGCTGGGAGGTGGCTAATGGAACGAGGGCAGCGATTATGTGCTATAAAAACACAGTCATAGGGCCAAACTCGAAGAAAGCATTTTGATGTTTCAATAAAATCCCACAATACTGCGTGAAAATACACCCTACTTCTGACGTCCTGAGTAGCCACACCTCAGCAATGGAAAACTGAGGGAGGGTGGGGTAGGAGTTAGCTGGAGGAGACAGTGTGTGCAGCATGGCAGCTCTACTCCAATGCTGGAAGTGTCAATGAGACTTAGGTGTGCATGAAGATTATGGCACAAGCATATCATATAGCTGGCCATTAATTTTTAAAATAAAGTTCTGCCCAAGTTATGTGTTGAGATTCAATTACTGGACTGGAAAAAAAAAGTCACAGAAATACCCTGGGAAGTTTTCCTCATGCTTCAAAATAATTCTTACAGATTTAGCTGCACAGAAATGTAGTAGCTCCTAGGTACTAAAAAAAAAAATTAGACGTGAACATCCGTAATTACTAACTAAACTACCATTTTATAAGGACTTCAAACAGTACTATAATAAATGAAATGCATTTCAAATGGAAGGGAACCCTGGGCTATCTAAAACTAGATATGCGGGCAACAGCTTAAACACAGTGGCAATAGAAAAAATTCAACAAAATTTCACATACTTGTTATTTTGTACATCTGTCTCAAACAAATGCTTAGAAATAAAAATATATTCCACACCATCACTTTCTTGGCTTCGTCTTGCTCTAGTGGTATCTGTGATTTGATAGAAAAGGAGTTGAGAAGTCTACATCAGTTACCTTAAAGTATTTTTAGAAAAATCAAGTACATTAAATTAGTTTCCTATACAAGATTTAAAAACATATGGAAAAAAGTGAATTAACTAGCAAAGTACAGTGGAGGATAAGTTCAGACTCCTCCACTGTCATTACAATGTCTAATTGCACCACGGGTCTGATCATTACTCATACCTTTAAAGAATCTTCAGTATGAGTAAATACATAAAAGTAGTCATATGTGTAGAGTTTAACCCACACCCCAGGAAATCATCTTTCTTTTGCAAATAACTTTTTATCATGTTGTACACTGATTTATTTATTTACTTTGCTAAAGTAAGCACAGTGTTCACTGGGTGGAAGGTAAACTTTCTTCACACAGTACATGGCATGTACCTTCAGTATTCTGTTTCACCAACTAAATGAAATCAAATACCTCCATGAATTATTTACAACTGCTGCCAAGTTAGTAATAACAGCCTCTCGCAATCTTTGACAATGTTGCCTACTTATTTTTGAGAGAAGTATAAAAAAGCAGAAAATACAGGCTAAGTGGAAAAACAATGACAAAATACAACACTTTCCAATGTGGACACACGTGAAACCCCACTGCAGCCTTACCCTTCCTGCCCTTAGAATCAAAAGTCCTGGATGCCTGTCACTTATCTGAGAACCTTGAAAATACACAAAACAGGAAGGATACGGGAGGCCTGCATGGGGAACCACGGCATACTGGTAACAAGGCAGGGGCTAGATTACTGTAGGGAACTAGGGAAAAGGGCTATGCAACTGCTCACCAATGTTATACTGAAAACACATGCGGAACTTAAAACATGCTAGATTCAAAAGAGTGAGGTAGGGAATGTCAAGAAAGAGAAAGAGGAGGGCCTGTAGCTGGTCATGAGACAGCCAAGCTGAGTAGGTAAGAGAAAGGACAGGGCCTGGAGGAAGAAAGGCCAATGTTGACAGGCTGTCTGTCTGTCTGACTCCCATGAAGCCCTGGGGTTGTACACAAGACACTGATGATCTCTCAAATATTCATGCTTTCAGTGAAGCTCAGTGCAACTTACCTAACTGGGGAAAGATGGCTTTTAATGAAGAAGGTTACCTCAGTCCAGAAAAGAGATTATCCCAGATCACCCCATGGATACGGAACTAGATATGAGACAGTTAAGAAAGACTGAGGCTACATCTTGGTAGCCGTGTTAATGTCATACCCATGGCGAAATACAAGCTGGACACATAAATGCTGAGAACAAATCTAAACCAAGGCTTCTTTCACTTCACCTGCTCCCATTTGTCTGTGTCATTAATATTTACGGTGTGAGGAAGCAAAAGGCAGAGCCACCATTCCAATTAACTTTTGGAGTCCCTTGAGTTATGGCACCTGAGTCTTCAGGTAGATGCACCTTGGTTGAAAAAGGTATTGTCATTCTAAACAAACAAACAAACAAAAAACAAAAACCCCTGCTCAGCAAGATTAGCAAGGCGTGTGTGAATTAAGAGTGTGGAGGGAACTGAAAAGTGGAGTAGAGAGGGGAGTATGTTAATTCTCTGTAGAAACCAACATTGGTCTAAAAATACCTTCTGCCTTTGTATGTACAGCTCAGATTCAAGCCAGCAGAATTTACATAACTGAATGAAAAGAGTTATCAATCAAAATAGCCCCAGGAAAGACAAGCAAAGAAGAGACCTTCTCAAATGAAACAAACCTATGCTCACTATGGAACAAAGTGATTAACAGTCAAATCAACATTCCAGTATACTATTTCTTCCTAGTTTAATAAAATATAAATGCTTTAAAGTAAAAACTGTAGTGAGATAAGTTTCTTTTTTAATTAAAAGGTTGTTTTAATTAAACACACAGACACCATGATGTATATGAAGGCCAGAGGATAACTTAAGGTGTCACTGTTCAGGAGCCATTCACTTTGTTTCTTTAGACAGTCCCCTCCCTAAACCTGCAACTCGCCTAGCAGAGTTAGGCTAGCTATCCAGAGAGCCGCAGGGATTCACCTGTTTCTGCCTTTCTATCACCACCGGTGATTTTTTACATTGTGTCATGGTGACTGATATCAGGACACCCTGCTTACAAGATGAGCAAATTCCCAGTGGAGTCATCACCCTTCCAGTCGTCCTGTAGTTTCTAAACACATTTAAGCCTACAGTTCAACCATCCTCCTGCTTGTTGTTCAAGGGAAACAAAACCCTGTTTTTTCAAATTCTTGTGCACAAAGTTCACCCTGGTGCTGTATTTGTTAACAGTCAACAGTGGGGGTGATGGAAGAACCTCAGTAGCCACCATCAGGTGAACATGCTGAGAGACTGTAGCATTTCCATGCAAAAAATGCCACCCAAGAATTGCTGAAGTTTGAGGCATCAAACATCATCGAGAATGTGGCAAACTCATGCTGAACTGGAAAAAAAAATGAAAAACCTGTTTGTGCAAAACCAAATCAGCTTTCACTGTGTAATTCAACAGAAAATGCTGAGGATTACAATGAATCTCCAAGTGATGAGAGTAGAGCTGCACTTGGTCTGGGGAAGAGCGTGAACGCTTCTGAGACAGAATTCCTCGCTGTGCCTTTGATGACGCTTGCACATGTGCAGACAGAGGCTGACAAAGAACCATGTTCATTTTACATATTTGATTGTATCTTTTATAATATTTAACAGGAAACTATGGGCTGAGAAAGGCAACACTTAAAAAATCATTAAAAATTTACTTATGTATTAACCTAATATTTGTTTATTTATTTGTGAGGTGCACACCACGGTGTGCACGTGGAGGTCTAAGGACAACTTGCTGGAGTGTTGCTCCCCTCCTTCCACCATATAGGTACTGGGGACCAAACTCAGGTTCCCAGGCTTGGTCGGAGGCTCCTTTATCTGCAAAGCTGTCATGCCGGCCACAAAGCAATGAATTTTTAAGGCCAAATAACTCAGTTATGTTCCAAATCCTAATTCTCTTTACCAAACCAGCAAATATATATTACTATAAAGGTCCTTCAACAGTCGTTCACCCCTCCCCCATGGAACACCAAGAAGTAGTGCTGTTCTTAATGGAACGTCAGTCTTTCCAAAGCAGGATAAGGACTGATAAGTTTTATTCTATCATGAAAACAAGCACCACACTTCACAGTAGGAAATGATTTTGTTGAGTGTGTCTTTCATGATACATATTCAAGAGTAGAAATATTATTTAAATGAGTACTTTTTCCTGCTTTGTAAATGGGGCTAAATTCATTTATTATTTTTGCTGTTGATATTTCCCAGAGTTCCTTTACCAAATAGTGAACAAAAAACAAACAAAACCCCACAACACTGGAAGTCAAAAATGAGACTTTTCTCTACACGAATTTTATAGTAATAAAGAAAATACTGTGCTTGCCTAACTGTAAGAGATTTACATCATGACTGAGCATGCACAGCACCCATTTTGGGGACCACTGTCCTAATATACAGAGCCCTCTGTACCTATACGCACCAGGTTAGAAACTTTCTGAGGTATCAGAGCAGCTAGTAGGAGAAAAGAACATTCAGGACAACTCCAAATGTTAGCCATGGCTCCTACTTCTTTACTGAGAAGTATCTCAAGTCTAATTGGTAGTCTTCAACTCAGTAACAAGCCCTCAAAATGCCTGTGAGAAGATTGTGAAGGTGGCAAATGAGGCATTCTTTTGACGGTTACATCTTCTAGAGCATGGGTAGTTTGAGCTCTATGAAAACATTGACCTGTTGCCTGCACAGGAAAGCTCAAAAAATAAAGAGGATGTGTGGGTAATGATGAAAGGTGTTCAAAGCCCAGACTAAGGATGCAGAATGCATAGATCTGAATGTAATGTCCATCAACCACAGAGCCTTTTGTTTGTTAAGTTTCAGCTGTTTGAGCCAAACTGTAAGGTAAGAGAGACAACTGGAGAAGGAAACCAACCAATCACTGAGCACTCTGACTCTGACCCCAAAGCCAGGAAAAAAAAAACAAAAGCCCTGACACTGAACCAGTGCCAAAAAAATCATAATACATCAAAGACAAAAAAAAAAAAAAAAAAAAAAAAAAAAAAAAATACACCCTGTTCCCAAGATTAGAGTCAAAAGTCTAAAAAGGACCAGTGAAAGAAACTTAGTTTGACCATGAAATCAGAGCCATTTCTGTCCCTTACCAACTAAACTAACCAATCTCTGAGCATGGAAAACTAAACAATCCCTCTTCTCCCTTGGAAAACTACTCCCCTAAGAAGCCCTATATAAGCCTCTCAGCCTGTTCACTTGGAGGCTACCCTTTATCCCTCCTTGCAGAGACAGTCACTCTCCTTCCCAAATAAATCTCAAAAAAGTATTGGGTAATGGTCTTCACTGGCTGGCACAGAGAACCTGGTTGGGATGCCCCTTAGGGGACTGAGCTGAAAAACCTTGCTGAGACGCTCCCTGAGTGGGGCTGAGCAAGGTGGAGCAGAACAGAAGAACAGAAAAACCTTGCTGGGACACTCCCTAAGTGGGGGCTGAGCAGGAAAAGTAGCAACTTTTCTGCCATAGAAGCAGATAGCTCTGCTAGGACCTTCCCTTAAGGGGACAGAGCAGAGCTCAACTGTAGCGGGCTCTCCATGAGAAGAGCAGCATTGCTGCATCCTGTGGGGAGACCATCCTCCATTGCAGGTAGCCTGGCGTCCTGATAAGTCAGGATCCCTTCCCTCCAGGGCTGAGCTGTCCTATTGAGGAGGCTCCAGCCTCCAGAGTTGTCCTATTGCAGCTCTAGCCCCAGAGAGCCGTCCTACTGAGCCTTGTTTCCTGATAAGTCAGGCTATCTCTGCAACTTCACAGTTATAACACATTCCCCTACAATAACAGTGTGTATTAGATTTAGTATCGCTTTAAAATACAGTCACATGCTGCATGATGACATCATGCATTATGAAATGCATACCTGACCGCGCCTCATAAATTATCTACTGATATCCTTGCCCACCGAGTTATATTAAG